TGGGATTGTCCTTAAATGAAAAGATTGAAAATGTCTAAGAGAAAAAGCTTCTAGATTCTAGGCACCCTATTCAGACCATTATTGATTTGAATAAGTTGTTCAGACCAATAGTGGTCCGAATATGTTGAGTAGAATCCTTCTTTTTCCTTAACACCTCAAATGATGCCTGATTCATTCTACTTCCATTCAAACAACATGATCTAAAAGGCTTGAATAACATAGAGTCTAACCTTAAAACTAGCAATTCCAAGCTTACATGTTTGTGGTTTAACAACAACATGGCATAACCTTATAGTTAACGATCTTAATTCTATGCGTTTGCGATTTTGCAATGATGTTGCTTTATGCCATCATGAAGCCATTTCAGGTGACTAACTGATGGTGCTAGGGTTTGGAGCGACTATAATAGTGACGTGTAAGCAGTTGGTTTTGGTAGAAATGGGATTAGGGCTTGTTTGGGTGGGATTGTCCTTAAATGGAAAGAATGAAAAAGTTTGAGAGGAGAAGCTTCTAGATTTTGGGCACTCTATTCGGACCATTGTTGGTCTAAATAAGTTTTCCATACCAACAATGGTTTGAATATGGTGAGCAGAACCCTTTTTTTTTCCTTGACACCTTAAACCGTGCTTGGTTTGTCTACTCTCATTCAAACAACATGATTTAAAAGGCTTGAATACCATAGAGTCTAACCTTAGGACTAAGAATACCAAGCCTACATGTTTGTGGTTTAGTAACGACATGGGATAACCTTATTGTTAATGATCTTAACTTTATGCGTTTGCGACTTTGTAATGATATTGCCTTACGCCATTCTGAAACCATTTCAGGTGACTAACTGATGGCACCAGGGTTAGTAGCAACTATAGCAGTGACATGCATGTAGCTAGTTTTGGTAGAAACAGAATCAAAGCTCGTTTGGGTGGGATTGTCCTTAAATAAAAAGAATGAAAAAGTTTGAAAGGAGAATCTTCAAGATTCTAGGCATACTATTTGGACCATTGTTGGTCTGAATAAGTTTTCCAAACCAACAGTGGTCTGAATATGTTGAGCAGAATCCTTCTTTTTCCCTGACACCTCAAACCATGCTCGATTCGTTCTACTCCCGTTCAAACAACATGATTTAAAAGGCTTGAATACCATAAAGTCTAACCTTAAGACTAACAATACTAAGCCTACATGTTTGTAGTTTAGCAATGGCATGGCATAACCTTATAGTTAATGATCTTAACTCTATGCATTTGCGATTTTGTAATGATGTTGCCTTACGTCATCGTGAAGCCATTTCAAGCAACTAACTGATGGTGCTAGGGTTGGGAGCAACTATAATACTGACGTGCACAAAGTTGGTTATGGTAGAAACGAAATCAGGGCTCATTTGGGTGGGATAGTCTTTAAACGAAAAGAGTAGAAAAGTCTAAGAGGAGAAGCCTCTAGATTCTAGGCATGTTATTTAGACCATTTGTAATACCCCAAAATTTCTGGAATTTTTAGCATTAAGTTAGGGACTTGTTTGAGAAAGAAATATTGTTTTGGGCTTAATAGCTAAAATGTCCAAACTTGAGGAACTTAAAAGAGTAGAAATTGGATAAGGATGACTTATTTTTTTTCTCCTTTTTTCTTCTTCCTCACCCGATTCTGCTCTTTCTTTCTTCCCGCTGCAGCCGAACAAAAAAAAGGGGGGAACCCGGCACCAGCTTTGAGAAACCGATGAGATAAGCTTGGTTTTGGCCTTCTTCTCTTGTTCTAGAACACCTTTAGAACCCAGAAATTTCCCCCACCCCTCTGCAGTTTCCGGATCTGCTCTGCTTGCCCGTCCGTTGCTGCTTCTAGGCCCGAAATTCTGGGCATTTTTCTGGTAAGAACAGCCCCTAATTCCTTTGTTCTTCCTTGAATTGGCTTGGGTTTGCTTTAATTCCTCTTGGTTCTTGAATTTTGGGTAGCTCGTGAGCTTCCCCCTGCAAATTCCCGCCGGCCTCTTCCCCCTGCAAGGTCCGGTTCTGCAGTTGGAATTCTGGTATGTTGACAGCTCCAAGCCTGAAATTTTATCAGTTATTTGCTGCCCTGTGTGTGTCCGAAAATCTGCTGGAAATAGGGGAGAAAATTGATAGTAATTAGACAATGATTTAGCTTAATTCAAGTTGAATTTATGTGATTGAGTGTTAATTGACTGCTGTGTGATTTTTGGAGAAAAATCCCGTGAATTAGCTAGTGTTTTGGCTAATTTTGGAAGTTGGAGTCACTGTTCACGTCGTGGTACTGTTCACGGGTTACTGTTCACGACACTGTTCACATATTACTGTTTACACCCCAAGGGCCAACAATTAACGGGGATTTAAATGATTAGTTTGTGATATAAGAACGAATTTGCAGATGTTTAATCATGTGGAGATTGATAGGAATAACATCGGGATTAGGAGTGATCTTAATGATGATTTCAGTTTGAATTTGTGATAGTCCGGTATTAATTCTGAGGTGTTTTGATTAGGTTTTCGATCGTTCTGTCAGTTAGCACTGAGATTGAGTGCTCGGTTTTATGTGAGTGAGGTAAGTAAATTTATGGTAATGTCCGTATAGTTTTTAAAAGCATGTTTTGATTTGTTTTTGAAGTGGTGGCGAGACTAAACCCGTTTTACACGAGCATGACTGATTTGAAGTGAAATGTTTATGTTTTTCATTAAATTGAGCATGCCTACTTGAAAGTTTAATTGGTTGTCCTGATGATCTGAAAGTTATTAGTGAATTGTGATTTTTCTGTTAACTTCAGCCTGTTTTGTCTCCGATGTGGTCATGTTATTAGTGACCCAGCTAGTGGGGGAGGTTATAAACGCTAGCACATGTTGACATGTTAGTGATAGAGCCGGTTCATTCAGTGGCCCTGCTAGTGGGGATTATACACTAGTAAATCGTGTGCCCGCCAGTGGGAGGTTTATAAACGCTGGCCATGACCTATAGAGGAGACGTCTATTTCGTTTCCGTACCCGTATCGGTTTTTCGTGATTGTACTTGTTGGCATGCTTTAAGTTTAATAAGGGCACTCCATATTTACTTACTGAGTTTATCTCATAGTTTTCCTTGTCCACCATTTCAGGAAGTGAAACCGAGGACGGGGAAACCACGAGAAGTGACGAGTTAGAAGGCTAGCCATATTGTAATTGGATATAAATTTTAGATATGAATAATGATCTTGTATTTGGAGATTTTTATGATATCAAAGTAAATTTTAAAGATTTGATCTTCAGATTTTGATGGTATCAGATTGTGGTGTGATAAGTTCCGAGCCTTGTGCATTTGTGGGACCCGTCTCACGAGTGCACGGCGTCTGTTGCGTCTCGAAATTGGGTTTTGGGGCGTGACACCATTGTTGGTCTGAATAAGTTTTCTAGACCAACAGTGGTCCAAATCTGTTGAGCAGAATCCTTCTTTTTCCCTGTCACCTCAAATCGTGCCCAATTCGTTCTACTCTTGCTCAAACAATAGGTTCTAAAAGGCTTCAATACCATAGAATCTAACCTTAAGACTAATAATACCAAGTCTACATGTTTGTGGCTTAGTAACGACATGGGATAACCTTATAGTTAATGATCTTAACTTTACATGTTTGCGATTTTGCAATGATGTTGTCTTATGTCATTGTGAAGCCATTTCAAACGACTAACTGATGGCATCAGGGTTAGGAACGACTATAGTAGTGACTTGCACATAGCTGGTTTTGGTAGAAATGGAATCAAGGCTTGTTTGAGTGGGATTGTTCTTAAATGAAAAGAATGAAAAAGTCTAAGAGGAGAAGCTTATAGATTCTCGGCACCCTATTCAAATGATTGTTTATTCAAATAAGTATTTAATACAAAAAGCACAATATACATAATATAATTATAGTATTTAATAAATTAAGATTAATATTCTAAATAAAATAAACATAATGATAGCAATATAAACTAACAAATAGCATAATAATTGAAATAATAAATAAAGAATAAAACTCATAAATAAATATAAAACATTGAAAGGAAAA